TGAAGATGGCCGGGGTCTCCCCCTCGGGCCCCTCCTCCCGGAAATCCACGGCTTCGTCCGGCTGGGGGGGGGCCGGCCTGGCCGAGGAGGAAGAGGGGGCTCCCACTCCCCCAGGCTTCAGCTTCTGTTCCTCCTCCAGCTGCCGCTTTAAGGCCTTCTCCTGGGCCAGCCGCAGGCCCAGGAGGTCCTGGGGGGGTCTGGGGGTTTCAGCAGGAGCCCCCCAGAGCGGCGCGGTGTCGGGCGGGGGACCCTCACCTCCTCCAGAGGCCCTGCAGGAGTCTCCTTGGCCTCCGGCTCCTGCTTGCCACTGGCCTCCAGGATGGCCATGATGGAGTTGGGGATGTGTGCTTGCTGGGGGAAGAGCAGGGAGGGGTGCTGCGGAGAGCTCTAACCCAGAGACCCCTCCTGGGCACCCCAGATGCCTGGATGGTCCCTGGCCCTCCAGAACCCTTGACATTCTGTGGCCCTGCAGGGCTCCCCTCTGCCCACTCCCCTCCAGTCCCCCGGGGCTGGACCCATGGGGCCAACCACCCCACATCTTGGGGTACCTGATGGGGGGTGAAGGAGCGGACATGGGCCAGCAGGGGCTCCCGGAGCTCTGGGCACTTGTCAAACACGGCGCCCAGCTGCTGGGGTGGCAGCTGCAGGATGACCTGGAAGCTCTGGGGCTTGGTGCGTTGACAGCATTTGATGAAGCCCTCCCACACTTTGGGGTACTTCCACACCTGGATGGGGCAGGGAGGAAGGGGGCATAAGGGGGCATGCAGTGGCCACCCTGGGAACCGGAAGGACCGTGCCAGGATGGGGCCTTGCTGGGGCTCAAATCCCTGCCATCACACAGACTCCCTTTGGGCTCCACACAGCCCTGACCTCCTTACAGAGGATCGAACCTTCTCTTCTAGCTCGCTAGCAGCTGGGGCAGGAGGACAAGGAGGGAAGAAAACAGTGGCCCTTTCACCCGGGTCTCCCTGGGCCAGGCCCAGGCAGTGTTGTGAGCATTTCATTCCCACAGCGGCCTCCAGGGGGCGTCATTCGCCCTGAGAAACAGAGGAGGCCGGAGAGATGCAGGGACTTGTCCAAGGTTGCCCTGGTAACTAGAGGCAGAACCAACATTTGACCCAGGTCTGTGTGAATCTGCACTTAACCTCTAAGCCAGATGGAGCCACGTGGCAGCCTGCGGGCCGAGTCCAGCCTGAGGGCTTGTGGAGGTTTTGGTTTCATCATGGTCTCCTGAACACCCAGATTTCCAGCTTCTCCTGAAAACCGGCCCACCTTTCAGCTCTAGGATGCATCCTGCCTAGGTGCAGTGGTGGGGGAAAGGGGCAGCCATGCCTCTCCTGGGATGCGCACCCCTGAAGCCTACTGCCTGCTTCTAGAACCCACCCACCCATGAGGTAGCTACCCCATGGCTGAAGTCGGACCCCTGGAGCGCCAAGGGCAGGGCAAAGGGCTGGCCAGTGTGGGTGGAGCTTGCTCTCCTCATCTGGGCTCCCTCTAGGGCAGTGGTTCTCAACCTTCCTAATGCCGCGACCCTTTCATACAGTTCCTCATGTTGTGGTGACCCCCACAATAAAATTAATTTCGTTGCTACTTCATAACTCATTTTGCTGCTGTTATGAATCATAATGTAAATGTCTGATAGGCAGGATGTATTTTCATTGTTACAAATTGAACATAATTAAAGCATAGTGATTAATCACAAAACAATATGTAATTTTATCTGTGTTTTCCGATGGTCTTAGGCGACCCCTGTGAAAGGGTCGTTGGACCCCCAAAGGGGTCGCGACCCACAGGTTGAGAACCGCTGCTCTAGGGGGTGAGAGGCAGGCAGGCTGGAAAAGCCTGCGGTCCGGCCTCATCTACCTTAGTTCCTGCTGCAGCCAGTCCACTGCCGGGGGCCTGGACGGTCCAGGGCGGGTTACCTGCTTCATGATGAGGCGGGACAGGATGTTCATGACGAAGCCCCCCAGGCGGGGGTACATGGTCAGGGACTGGATGACGGTCCTCATGAGCAGCATGGGCAGGGGACTCTGCTCCATCAGCTGCTGCATCACCACGGCCAGCACCTCCGATGTGTACACGTTCCGCTCCGCAAAGCACAGGTTGGTGGCTGCGAGGAGGCGGAGAGCGGGCCTGTCCTCTTTGCCCGGCTGCCCCCCGGGGGGTGGGAGCGCCACCACCCTTAGAGAGCACTAGCCCCACTTTCTACCCGTGTGCAGACCCAGACCGACTTGCAGAAGCTCCGGGCAAAACAGGACACTGCCCCCACCCAGCAGGGGGTCTCTTCCTGAGGGGACTGGCCTGGTTCTTGCAAGCCTGGTGGCTTGGTCCCCGGGGGAAGGCATGGCCAGCTCCCGCAAGCCCCACACTGGACACCGTGGGGAGACCGTGGCCCTTCCTCTGAGGACAACCCTTGGAGAGCCGAGGCAGGAAAGGCATGCTGGCAACCGCTGGGGACCCATTCTGGCTTGATCTGGGCAGCACAGCACCTCCACCCCTACTAGACAGGAAGGCAGCTCTGAATTCCATAAACACCCCGTAGTGGACAAGAGAGATGGCCCTGCACCAGCAAGGGACCACCCACACCCAACCCTCCTCAGGGCATAGGGCCTGTGCTACTGCTGGGGCACCAAGCCTAGAGTATGTGGGGGCACGACCCATAGAGGAAGAAGGGAGGGTGAGGAAGCCTGGGTATACACTCAGCTCCCCAGCTCAGCTGCCAGGCCAGCAAGGGCCCACGGATGGCTGGCACAACACAAGCACCCACGAAGGCCTGGGGTCCGCTCCCTCGGGCGTGGGTTGTGGCACCCTGACATGAGCGGGATGGGTGGTGCTCCCATCCATTGTGCTAATGGGGAGGCCCCAGCCAACTGCCTCTGAACCCCCTCTTCCCCAAACACCACTGGCCATGTGAGTCTGTCAACCAGGAAGTCTTTATTGAGCTAAAAGAAAGGCCCCCAATACTTGCGAGGCTAATGGAGAACAGGGGTGGGCACTGTAAGGAAAGGGGGCAGCTCCCATTAGGAAAAGGGAGGAGAGGAAGAGTTACAGGTAGACAGGTGGGAGGAGGCGGGGCAGGGGACAGGGCGGGTACCTAGGCCAAAGGGCAGCGGACAGTGTAAGTGAGGAAAGTGTCAGAGAGCACCTGCCGGACGCTGAGGTGGCTGCCCCTCCCCTCACTTCCAGGCGGTCCCAGCTCCCATCTATTTTGCCGCAAAGCCTCAAGTTGGCCTCGTCCCCTCTCCTCCCCCTCAGCTCTGCCCCAGCCTCCTCCTGGGCTGCCCCCTCAGCCCTCTAACCCACCCTCCACACAGCAGATTGAAGGGTCTTTTGAAACTCAACCTGACCTTGCACCTCCCAGAGGCCCTCGAGGTCCAGTCCTATGGGGGCCCAGGCGGGTTTCCTCAATGATTACAGGCTATGCAAGTGCATCTCTTGGCCTCTGCAATTTTTCTTCCTTTCTCTGGGATGGTCTTCTTTTCTGCTGCCTCACCCCTGCTCATCCTTCTGTGGCCTCCGCTCAGGTGTCCTCTCCTCCGGGAAGCCCTCCCTGATGTCCCTCACCAGAGGCTAGGTGGCCCCTCTGAGCTCCCCTATCCCAACCTGGCTCACTGAGTTGTTACTGAGGATGGATTGTGACCCCTGCAAGAGCAGGGTCAGAGCTGTCTCTATCCCTGCTGTGTTCCTAGCACAGCCCAGCACAGGGCTGAACAGAAGTGCTCAGTGAGTGAATCGCTGGACTAGACTTGAGGGCAGGTCTAGTTATAGAAAAACTCACCAGAGAAAGGGTGGTTTAATGGGGGGCATTGCTAATACTATCAGCCTCTGGGGTTCGATGGTGCACAAAACAGGACTGGACTTTGATCTGGAGCTTATAGTCAAGTGCAGTTACTGGTGCCCGAGCAGAGAAACGTGCTGGGCACTGACGGGACTGGTGCGGGGACGGCTGGCCGGGAGCACCAGCCCTGGGAGGCTGTGTGGGCCG